AACCCCAAACTGTCAGATAATAATAATAAAAGGTTAGTTAAATTAAAAATAATGTAGTAGGCACCTCCTGAGCACTTTCAGAGGCTATACAGAATAGTATTAAAGCTGATTCAATTAGCTAGATAAGAAAATCCAATGCACCAAATACTATCCAGAAAGGGTGGATAATTGAATTAAGGGAAGAAATTTTTTTCCCATCTGATTTGCAAATTCCCATCCAGTATTTTAAATTTGCTTAATAGTAATAAAGTATTGTTAGCAGAAAAACAAAACAAAAACTTGTAAAAGGGCCTATTGCCTGGAGGAAAGGCGTGCAGCATTTCTGAATCTTGTTATTATTTCCTAGGCTGCATCCCCACTTTTGAAAAATTTTCATTAGGATGTTAAAGCTGCCCATCCAGGGCCTTGTCTTGTGCTTATTCCCAACGTCCCCTTTCACATGTGCTGGTTTTGATCTAGAACGAGCCTGCATTTCCACTGGTGATACACTGGGAGCAGAGGAATGTGCAGAGCAGTGGAAGAGATGGAAATCCAAAGTAGAAATTGTAAAGCATGCCGCCTCCTCTTCCTTCTCCTCCTCACACAACCTTGTGCTCCCTGCATGGAGTGGTTATTTGGTGTTTCCTCTCCTTTCCACCACAAAGGAGACAGGGTTTCATAAGCCCTGGAAGCGAGCGCAGGGCCAGCGGGGCTGGGTTTCCTGCTGGAGCACATAAATAAGTGACAGGAGTTGCCGGGGTGGCTGTCAGGGCCATCTGGTGGGTGAAGCCCTACCAGATGGTCCGCGAAAGGTGGCGTGCACATGTGGCTCGCACCGCTGCTGTCATCTCGCAGTGCTGGCAGCCGCTCTGCAGACGTTTTGGTGGCGTTCCTACTGCTGCGTGGATGCCCCGAGCAGCCCTCTGATACCACACTGCTGCCTGCGTTAGCGCCGGTCTCCTTACGTGGCTCTGCTTTCACCGAGGGCCTTCCTCCCGTGTATGTGCTCTGCTGCGCACCTGCCAGCTCTTCTTTCCATGTGGTCAAGGCTGCTCTTCCTTCAGTGTTTTCCCAGGCCTTGTGCAGGATGTGCCTCCTATGCAGGCCAAAAGGCTGTTATAGAATTTCCTGTTCTATTTTTTTTTCTATTTCATTTCCTTTTTCTAATTCTATTTTTTCATATTTATTTGAACACTTTTGCAAGCACAAAAGCCTCAGTGACAGGAGCCTGGCATGAGTAAGGACAACAGGATAAAAGCCAAAATATCTTTCTGATAGCCTTTACTGTATCCTGTAGGTGTTGTACCTTCTTTGGATGTTTTTATGCAAGATTCAAAAATAACTAGCCATTAACTGTCACTTCACATTTCATAGTGGGCTTTTTTGCTCTCGGAAATCTAATTTTTCCCATGTCTGTTGAGCTTCCTGTCCACTTCTGGTACATTTTTGCTTTACAGTATCTATCTTGTTCTTGCAATTAGTTGGTTTGGGAAAAAAAAAAAGAGGAAAAATAAAGGGAAAAAAAAAGTTTTTTTCCAACCATCTCCCATAAAAATCATTATCAATGAGACCTGCAGTGATTGTCTCTCACACACTTTTTTTTTTTTTTTTTTTTTACAAATGAGCATATACATATGTGTAAGAACACATATGCAAAGCAGCAGCAGGATCTATGATGATCAGTTACAGTATTTTCAACCAGTGCATAATGAAAAGGTACTAAAAATAAAATGCTCACGAACCCAAAGAGATCATATTTGTTGTGCAGGGGTTCCCTGTTCCCATCACAGTCAGTCTTAGCAGTTCTAAGCTGCTCATGCTAATTTCGATGTATGTGGCGATATAAAAGAATACAGAAATTCAACTGACATCCACACTTCTGAAATGAAATACACTTTAAAAGTGAGCTATAACAATATTTTTAAAAGATGCCTGTTAGATTACCTGGCAAAGTGCTTATTCATTACTGTCATAGAGAGGAAGGTTTGCCTCTACCTGTGGAGAAGGAAACTGTCACCAGTTCCTACGTGAGACCTTGAAACTGTGGTAAGATTTCAGAAGCGGAACTGAAATAAAACTCTGTTTTAACATGATGTGTGATTAGTATGACCTCTTGTGTTAAACACAGGAACATTCCTTTGTTTATTGGCATAATGAAACTATCAAGCAAGTAATTAAATATCCAGAAGCTAGTAGCAGCAAAGTCCTTGCCCAGTTCTACAACCCAGCAATAGGTATGTCAAAATAGGAATTTGTAGCTGTTATTTGTGAATTAGAAAAAGAAACACAATCATTTCCCCATTTAAACACAACAGCCATCTACTAAGAATTTTAGAAGTTTTTTTTTTCACAATTCTAACAAAAATCTTACACAATCAGAATGAATGAAATTCCATGACATATCCTTGTTGACTTCCGAATAAAATATTCAGATTTACAAATCTGTTGAAGTCTTTCATGCTAAACTGGAGCCTGAGGACTTTATCTTCCGTTAAAAAGAACACTTAAAAGACAGTATATTTAAGAAAACATTAGGGACATGTCATGTACAGAGAAGAAAGGATGGAAGCTAAGCATATCTAAATCTTTAATCACTTCACAAAGCATATATTTTGACAGGACATTTGTGCAGAACTTTTATTTACACCACGCTGGAAACATTTTCTGATTCATGTGTTTGAAATCACATGCAAAAAAGGACCACTGAGACAGAATAGAACAGTGCTTTTTTAGAAACAGGCAGTGGAAGATGTGAAGCTATGTTAAATGGCTTCATTACTGAAAGCTTCCTCTTTTTTTGGTCTTAGATGCTTGAGAGAACTGTGAGTGCTTTTTCAAAATGGACTATATGGTGTAAATGTACTTAAAGATTTTGGTTGGTGGTGGCTTTCAGAAGAACCCACCTGCATATTTGAACCATAGTGTTGACTGCATTAGTGGCGGCTGCTTGATAGTGCACTTGCAATTCATGCTTGCTTTAAAGGGCATGTTTTGGCTCAGAATTAAGTAGTAGAAAATTTATAGCATATTTTAAAACTTAGCGATAAAACTTCACCCAAATGACTTAAAATTCAATCCATAAGAGCGTGCAGAGGAGAAAGGGATGTAGTGTGAGATGCAGAAATTGAACAGGTGCAGGCTTTTGTCCCAAGAAGGCTTTGTGAGTTTTGTGCTTAACGTGACAGAGACATTGGCCATGTAACGAGATCTTCAAAAGTGCAATTTTACAGTTGCAAACCTGGCTATTTGCAAAGACAGCAATTCCTGAGTGAGTATAACAAAACAAACAGTAAAACAAAACAAAACAAATCAAGAAGCGGGAGTCCCCGGCGGGCGGGCGGCGGG